ACATGACTTGACATCGTCACTCAAGGGAACTAGAGTATTTAGCAAACTGGATCTAACACGAGCTTACCATCAGATTCCCGTTCACCCTGATGATATTCCTAAGACCGCCGTAATTACGCCATTTGACCTTTTCGAATTTCTTCGCATACCTTTTGGCCTTCGGAACGCTGCCCAAACTTTTCAGCGCTTTATCCATGACTTTTTGTGCGGTCTAGATTTCGCCTTTGCCTACTTGGATGATATTTTGATAGCTATTCCAGATGAGGAAACACATCAACTTCACCTGCAGACTGTTTTCCAAAGGCTTACAACACACACCGTCACAGTCAACTTAGCAAAGTGTCAGATAAGTGTCACTTCTTTGAATTTCTTGGGACACAGGATAGATAAGGATGGAATTTATCCGTTATCTGAACGGGTAGAGACTATCCAAAACTTCCCTCTACCCACATCTCTCAAGGCATTAAGCACTTTCCTTGGGATGGTTAGCTACTACCGTCGCTTTATCCCACAATGCGCACATATCTTGACCCCCTTGACTGATAAGCTTAAAAGGAACTGCAAGTCCTCGGTGTTCACTGAAGAAACCTTGAAAGCTTTCGCAACTATCAAGAAGGCTATTGCTGACGCCACAATGTTAGTCCACCTAGATGTCCAGCTGCCGACCAGCATTTCAGTAGATGCCTCTAACCGTACTTGTAAACATTATGCATCACTTTAGTTATACAGTTCGCAACATGAAAAACATTTTTTGTAATGGTAACTACTCATAGCTATTGGTTATTTACACACTTCTCTGTAACTTTTATAAGTTTTCACAGGTTAGCGATTTCCTTTGTTATATATATATATATATATATATATGGTTTTTAAAAAGTTATATCCAGTGAGGGAATTGAATTTTAGATGTGAAAGCATAAAATATTATTAATAGTAGTATGAAATGCAGTTTAAAAACTAAGGTGTTTGTGATTATACTCATAGTTAAATTGCATGGAGCATTTAATCATGAGTTGACATCAGTTAGAGAATCACTGGAAAACCTGGGAGTACTGGACAGCTGTTTCGTCCTAGTATGGAACTCTTCATCAGAACGCACCCACCGGGATTCGAACTCAGGACCTTCTAGTTGCAAGGCGAGCTCGTATACCATTAAGCCACTGGGACCCGATCCAATGGTTCTTGAATTCTAACTTCTGCCAGTTCATAGTTAAATGTCAAGTGGCAAAGCAAATTAATGCCATATATTGAGTAATTCATAGGATGGATAGAACTTGAGAAAGGGTGTGCAATTATAGGATTAGTAGACAAATCGAATAAAACGAAAACGTTACGTAATATTGTGTGAAATTTAATAGCATAGAATTTATCGTTGTAAAAAAGAATTGATTTAGAATGACAAGTAGAACAAGTGAAATAATACCAGGGACAGTTCAGAGTGAGAATAGCAATAGTGACAATTGATGTAATAAGGAAGAGTATACAAATTGAATAGACAAAATGAAAAAATGAAAAACTGGTAGAGCTAAAATATGATTGGGGATTACCATACTTTAGCATAGAGGGATTAAGACCGTGAAAGTTGGAGGGGTTGAACGAAATTTTTCTGTACACAGAGATCTGGCTTTTCTGTTTCGATAGCCAAAGCTTCAGCAATACAGATGAGTCGGGTACGTAGGGATTTGGGTAAATTACTATTTGCCTTGTAGATGACTTTAAAGGCGGAGGTTATAGAGATAGGGTGATCATTATCGACCAGATGTTCAATGATCGCGCTTCTTATTGCTCCACTTCCACCTTTTCGTGGCCATACAGGATATTGTTCTTGCACTCTCTTGGACAGAACTCGAGTCGAACGACCGATATACCTAGCTCCACACGAGCAGGTGAATTGATAAACGCACATAGAGTTGGTCAACAGCAGGATCTTGTCCTTCAGGTTATTGAAAAGTAATGGTCGGCTAGTAAAGGCTATTCTCAGAGATGCAGCAGGGAATGTTTTTATTTTCAAGGACTGTGTTATCCTTCGTTTCATGATATCGGAAGCTAAGTCCCCTTTGAATTCCAAGCTCATGTAAAGTATTTTCTTGGGAACGGTTGATAAGTCACGCTTTGTAGGCTTTGAATGTATATCCTTATCTATAAAACGTGGTGGAAATCCATTTTCTATTAGGATAAATGCTATTAAATTTCACACAATATTACGTAACGTTTTCGTTTTATTCGATTTGTCTACTAATCCTATAATTGCACACCCTTTCTCAAGTTCTATCCATCCTATGAATTACTCAATATATGGCATTAATTTGCTTTGCCACTTGACATTTAACTATGAGTATAATCACAAACACCTTAGTTTTTAAACTGCATTTCATACTACTATTAATAATATTTTATGCTTTCACATCTAAAATTCAATTCCCTCACTGGATATAACTTTTTAAAAACCATATATATATATATATATATATATAACAAAGGAAATCGCTAACCTGTGAAAACTTATAAAAGTTACAGAGAAGTGTGTAAATAACCAATAGCTATGAGTAGTTACCATTACAAAAAATGTTTTTCATGTTGCGAACTGTATAACTAAAGTGATGCATAATGTTTACAAGTACGGTTAGAGGCATCTACTGAAATGCTGGTCGGCAGCTGGACATCTAGGTGGACTAACATTGTGGCGTCAGCAGTAGCCTTCTTGATAGTTGCGAAAGCTTTCAAGGTTTCTTCAGTGAACACCGAGGACTTGCAGTTCCTTTTAAGCTTATCAGTCAAGGGGGTCAAGATATGTGCGCATTGTGGGATAAAGCGACGGTAGTAGCTAACCATCCCAAGGAAAGTGCTTAATGCCTTGAGAGATGTGGGTAGAGGGAAGTTTTGGATAGTCTCTACCCGTTCAGATAACGGATAAATTCCATCCTTATCTATCCTGTGTCCCAAGAAATTCAAAGAAGTGACACTTATCTGACACTTTGCTAAGTTGACTGTGACGGTGTGTGTTGTAAGCCTTTGGAAAACAGTCTGCAGGTGAAGTCGATGTGTTTCCTCACCTGTAATAGCTATCAAAATATCATCCAAGTAGGCAAAGGCGAAATCTAGACCGCACAAAAAGTCATGGATAAAGCGCTGAAAAGTTTGGGCAGCGTTCCCAAGGCCAAAAGGTATGCGAAGAAATTCGAAAAGGTCAAATGGCGTAATTACGGCGGTCTTAGGAATATCATCAGGGTGAACGGGAATCTGATGGTAAGCTCGTGTTAGATCCAGTTTGCTAAATACTCTAGTTCCCTTGAGTGACGATGTCAAGTCATGTATGTGAGGGACGGGGTAGCGATCTGGGACGGTCTGTGCATTTAACCTGCGATAATCGCCAATCTAACCGATTATTCTTGGGTACCACATGCAGAGGTGAGGACCAAGGGCTGCTTGATGGCCAGATTATTCCCATTTGCAACATATTTTCGAACTCAGCTTTAATGGCTTTCAGACTTCCTGGGGACAAACGTCGAGGCTTTGCAAAGACGGGTAGGCCAATCGTAACAATGTGATGCGTGACACTGGAAGTCACACGTGGTAGACCACAGCTAGGCTTAAACGGGTCAGGAAAAGATTGAATTATATGAGAATGTGGACCAGTACAAGTAGGTGTGGCATATTCCGGGCTGAGGGCTGGGCCCTGTGTGGCGATAACGTTGACCGAGAGGTTTGTGGCTGAATCTCTTAACTTGCGCCTACCAGTATCTACCAGTAATTGATAATGCTGTAACAGATCCATACCAATTATACCTGTGGTCACATCCGCTACTAGAAAGACCCAGCGGAATGAGCGGGGCAAGCCGATATTCAGGTCAGTAAAACGCCTGCCGAACGTAGCTATTAGCGAGCCATTTGCGGCACGTATTTGTAAAGACATTGGCCGCCTGCGCTCCTCTATTGTGGGTGGGATTACACTGACCTCCGCCTCGGTATCAATGAGGGAGCTTATTCCAGTGTTACGGTCTGTAACATAGAAGAGGCGACATGGGGCTGGTTCGCCAGCGACGTTAGTCGCCAATACGTGCTGGCTCGCGAGTTTCCCGCTTGAGAGTGCCTGAACGCGCAGGGCGTGGTGCATTTGTGAGCTTTTGCAACACAGCGTTTATGGTACCAACAGACACCTAGTTTAGAGTCTCCTGCTGAAGAATTGGTTCGCCTGCGCGAATTACATTTATTTCGGCGTCGAAACGTACCACTTCGCGAGCGACTCCTAGACTTGAGTTCGCATCTAAGGTTACAAATTTCCTCGGACAGCGCACTCAATGTAAGCACAACAGGAGAGCGAACCAGATGCGTCCAGCAGAATTAAAACTCAAAAGATGAAGATGAGTCAAACGAGCGGGTGAATGAGTTCAAAAAAAGTCCAGGGGTTCACTGTTCACTACAACTTGCTGAGACCTGAATTCAACCTTGTCAAGCATGTAATCTCCGGAAAATTTCTACGAAAATGATCTAGGTTGTCTAGCTCAGTTAATACACATTCCCTTCATTGAGGAGTTATAAATTATAGCATATTTATGGATAAAGGAATAAAACTTGTGCACTGTGGTAGAGTGTAATTCCATTATGGTATTTATGGATATGTATTATTTACTAGTAATTAAGAAGAAAAACGGCTGTAGATGAACTTTCCCGTTGACTGCAGTTACACCATTTATCTTGTATCTGCATTATGTAACTTCGGCTAAACTCCGCGAAATGATGCTTTCGTCAAGAAGTTCGTCAAAACTCGGTAGAAATTTATTTCACTGATTGTATATTGTGTTCTTTAAAAAACAATGACAATGTACCACGGATTGTTTTTTGAGCCTTTCTGATTTTGTTAGGATAAGGTAATCACACGTTTTTATGGTCTCTTATTAGAAGGGAAGATGTTTTAATGTATTTTAAGCGTGAAGATAGATATAACTAGTGAATACACATTTTTTAAAGATGTATATATGTATTAAAAAGCTGGTTGAGTTGTTAAATATTGCATTATTTAATGCATATTTAAGTATTTCAAGGAGTAAGTCGTGTGTTTGATGTCGCGTTGCCATCGCAACTTCACTTCATCTAGATAACTAATCATGTTGTTGAATTTTCCGCATTCTAAGAGAGTAGAACGTGAACAGTTGCAGATGCACAATAAATAATGTAAATAAATCCAATAAGAAATCACATATAAAACTGAGAGACAGAAATGTAGACTTCAGTGTACACACATTTATTTAGAAAGTTTATACTTATTTCCTATTATCTCCTACTGTCACCAAAGGAAAGGTAATATTATAATTTACAGTGCAGCTTCAGGAATGGCAGAACATTGCTAGACAGGAATTTTTAATATTTTTATAACCTGAAATAAAGAAGACAGAATATTTCCACGTGAAGGCAAAGTCACTTATATACATGGATCACCAGAATACAGTTATTACAGAGCAACCGAATACAGTTACGGTAATAACCAGGTTGAAATATTTGACTGAATGTATCTATTATCTGTAATTTGTTTCGTAACTCCAAAGACCAGTGTTTATTGATTTATAATTTTCTGCAATCTTTGTGGACTGTTTTTGTGTAGCATAAGATTTAAAATGACGATGTATTGCTTATTATCTTTCACTTCCGAGTTATTACTGTGATTATGCTGAAAAGTTTGGAGACATCTGATGTTTATATTGCTATCATTACAAGGATTATACTTAGAACTAGTTGAACTTATAATGTCACATTCATAGAGTTTCCACTTTTATTAACTCTTAGTAGAGCTGATCATTCTTAGCTATCATTACAATATTGCACGCGAATGTATTAGTATAGCTCATAAAAATAAACCAAAAACTCACTTTTACAAATTACCAGCCAATAAATCATTTCAACTAGTTCTAAGTATAATCCTTGTAATGATAGCAATATAAACATCAGATGTATCCAAACTTTTCAGCATAATCACAGTAATAACTCGGAAGTGAAAGATAATAAGCAATACATCGTCATTTTAAATCTTATGCTACACAAAAACAGTCCACAAAGATTGCAGAAAATTATAAATCAATAAACACTGGTCTTTGGAGTTACGAAACAAATTACAGATAATAGATACATTCAGTCAAATATTTCAACCTGGTTATTACCGTAACTGTATTCGGTTGCTCTGTAATAACTGTATTCTGGTGATCCATGTATATAAGTGATTTTGCCTTCACGTGGAAATATTCTGTCTTCTTTATTTCAGGTTATAAAAATATTAAAAATTCCTGTCTAGCAATGTTCTGCCATTCCTGAAGCTGCACTGTAAATTATAATATTACCTTTCCTTTGGTGACAGTAGGAGATAATAGGAAATAAGTATAAACTTTCTAAATAAATGTGTGTACACTGAAGTCTACATTTCTGTCTCTCAGTTTTATATGTGATTTCTTATTGGATTTATTTACATTATTTATTGTGCATCTGCAACTGTTCACGTTCTACTCTCTTAGAATGCGGAAAATTCAACAACATGATTAGTTATCTAGATGAAGTGAAGTTGCGATGGCAACGCGACATCAAACACACGACTTACTCCTTGAAATACTTAAATATGCATTAAATAATGCAATATTTAACAACTCAACCAGCTTTTTAATACATATATACATCTTTAAAAAATGTGTATTCACTAGTTATATCTATCTTCACGCTTAAAATACATTAAAACATCTTCCCTTCTAATAAGAGACCATAAAAACGTGTGATTACCTTATCCTAACAAAATCAGAAAGGCTCAAAAAACAATCCGTGGTACATTGTCATTGTTTTTTAATGAACACAATATACAATCAGTGAAATAAATTTCTACCGAGTTTTGACGAACTTCTTGACGAAAGCATCATTTCGCGGAGTTTAGCCGAAGTTACATAATGCAGATACAAGATAAATGGTGTAACTGCAGTCAACGGGAAAGTTCATCTACAGCCGTTTTTCTTCTTAATTACTAGTAAATAATACATATCCATAAATACCATAATGGAATTACACTCTACCACAGTGCACAAGTTTTATTCCTTTATCCATAAATATGCTATAATTTATAACTCCTCAATGAAGGGAATGTGTATTAACTGAGCTAGACAACCTAGATCATTTTCGTAGAAATTTTCCGGAGATTACATGCTTGACAAGGTTGAATTCAGGTCTCAGCAAGTTGTAGTGAACAGTGAACCCCTGGACTTTTTTTGAACTCACTCACCCGCTCGTTTGACTCATCTTCATCTTTTGAGTTTTAATTCTGCTGGACGCATCTGGTTCGCTCTCCTGTTGTGCTTACATTGAGTGCGCTGTCCGAGGAAATTTGTAACCTTAGATGCGAACTCAAGTCTAGGAGTCGCTCGCGAAGTGGTACGTTTCGACGCCGAAATAAATGTAATTCGCGCAGGCGAACCAATTCTTCAGCAGGAGACTCTAAACAAGGTGTCTGTTGGTACCATAAACGCTGTGTTGCAAAAGCTCACAAATGCACCACGCCCTGCGCGTTCAGGCACTCTCAAGCGGGAAACTCGCGAGCCAGCACGTATTGGCGACTAACGTCGCTGGCGAACCAGCCCCATGTCGCCTCTTCTATGTTACAGACCGTAACACTGGAATAAGCTCCCTCATTGATACCGAGGCGGAGGTCAGTGTAATCCCACCCACAATAGAGGAGCGCAGGCGGCCAATGTCTTTACAAATACGTGCCGCAAATGGCTCGCTAATAGCTACGTTCGGCAGGCGTTTTACTGACCTGAATATCGGCTTGCCCCGCTCATTCCGCTGGGTCTTTCTAGTAGCGGATGTGACCACAGGTATAATTGGTATGGATCTGTTACAGCATTATCAATTACTGGTAGATACTGGTAGGCGCAAGTTAAGAGATTCAGCCACAAACCTCTCGGTCAACGTTATCGCCACACAGGGCCCAGCCCTCAGCCCGGAATATGCCACACCTACTTGTACTGGTCCACATTCTCATATAATTCAATCTTTTCCTGACCCGTTTAAGCCTAGCTGTGGTCTACCACGTGTGACTTCCAGTGTCACGCATCACATTGTTACGATTGGCCTACCCGTCTTTGCAAAGCCTCGACGTTTGTCCCCAGGAAGTCTGAAAGCCATTAAAGCTGAGTTCGAAAATATGTTGCAAATGGGAATAATCTGGCCATCAAGCAGCCCTTGGTCCTCACCTCTGCATGTGGTACCCAAGAATAATCGGTTAGATTGGCGATTATCGCAGGTTAAATGCACAGACCGTCCCAGATCGCTACCCCGTCCCTCACATACATGACTTGACATCGTCACTCAAGGGAACTAGAGTATTTAGCAAACTGGATCTAACACGAGCTTACCATCAGATTCCCGTTCACCCTGATGATATTCCTAAGACCGCCGTAATTACGCCATTTGACCTTTTCGAATTTCTTCGCATACCTTTTGGCCTTGGGAACGCTGCCCAAACTTTTCAGCGCTTTATCCATGACTTTTTGTGCGGTCTAGATTTCGCCTTTGCCTACTTGGATGATATTTTGATAGCTATTCCAGATGAGGAAACACATCGACTTCACCTGCAGACTGTTTTCCAAAGGCTTACAACACACACCGTCACAGTCAACTTAGCAAAGTGTCAGATAAGTGTCACTTCTTTGAATTTCTTGGGACACAGGATAGATAAGGATGGAATTTATCCGTTATCTGAACGGGTAGAGACTATCCAAAACTTCCCTCTACCCACATCTCTCAAGGCATTAAGCACTTTCCTTGGGATGGTTAGCTACTACCGTCGCTTTATCCCACAATGCGCACATATCTTGACCCCCTTGACTGATAAGCTTAAAAGGAACTGCAAGTCCTCGGTGTTCACTGAAGAAACCTTGAAAGCTTTCGCAACTATCAAGAAGGCTACTGCTGACGCCACAATGTTAGTCCACCTAGATGTCCAGCTGCCGACCAGCATTTCAGTAGATGCCTCTAACCGTACTTGTAAACATTATGCATCACTTTAGTTATACAGTTCGCAACATGAAAAACATTTTTTGTAATGGTAACTACTCATAGCTATTGGTTATTTACACACTTCTCTGTAACTTTTATAAGTTTTCACAGGTTAGCGATTTCCTTTGTTATATATATATATATATATATATATGGTTTTTAAAAAGTTATATCCAGTGAGGGAATTGAATTTTAGATGTGAAAGCATAAAATATTATTAATAGTAGTATGAAATGCAGTTTAAAAACTAAGGTGTTTGTGATTATACTCATAGTTAAATGTCAAGTGGCAAAGCAAATTAATGCCATATATTGAGTAATTCATAGGATGGATAGAACTTGAGAAAGGGTGTGCAATTATAGGATTAGTAGACAAATCGAATAAAACGAAAACGTTACGTAATATTGTGTGAAATTTAATAGCATTTATCCTAATAGAAAATGGATTTCCACCACGTTTTATAGATAAGGATATACATTCAAAGCCTACAAAGCGTGACTTATCAACCGTTCCCAAGAAAATACTTTACATGAGCTTGGAATTCAAAGGGGACTTAGCTTCCGATATCATGAAACGAAGGATAACACAGTCCTTGAAAATAAAAACATTCCCTGCTGCATCTCTGAGAATAGCCTTTACTAGCCGACCATTACTTTTCAATAACCTGAAGGACAAGATCCTGCTGTTGACCAACTCTATGTGCGTTTATCAATTCACCTGCTCGTGTGGAGCTAGGTATATCGGTCGTTCGACTCGAGTTCTGTCCAAGAGAGTGCAAGAACAATATCCTGTATGGCCACGAAAAGGTGGAAGTGGAGCAATAAGAAGCGCGATCATTGAACATCTGGTCGATAATGATCACCCTATCTCTATAACCTCCGCCTTTAAAGTCATCTACAAGGCAAATAGTAATTTACCCAAATCCCTACGTACCCGACTCATCTGTATTGCTGAAGCTTTGGCTATCGAAACAGAAAAGCCAGATCTCTGTGTACAGAAAAATTTCGTTCAACCCCTCCAACTTTCACGGTCTTAATCCCTCTATGCTAAAGTATGGTAATCCCCAATCATATTTTAGCTCTACCAGTTTTTCATTTTTTCATTTTGTCTATTCAATTTGTATACTCTTCCTTATTACATCAATTGTCACTATGGCTATTCTCACTCTGAACTGTCCCTGGTATTATTTCACTTGTTCTACTTGTCATTCTAAATCAATTCTTTTTTACAACGATAAATTCTATGCTATTAAATTTCACACAATATTACGTAACGTTTTCGTTTTATTCGATTTGTCTACTAATCCTATAATTGCACACCCTTTCTCAAGTTCTATCCATCCTATGAATTACTCAATATATGGCATTAATTTGCTTTGCCACTTGACATTTAACTATGAACTGGCAGAAGTTAGAATTCAAGAACCATTGGATCGGGTCCCAGTGGCTTAA